TTTTTTGCAAGTGACATGAATCTGCTGCTCCTATGAGCCCATACATATCCTTCTTGCTCCTCCTTTAATGAAAAGTAACTCCTAGGGAAAAAACTTCCTGCCTTTTCCTTGATTTTACAGTCATTGTCATTTTTAAACAATTATGTGTATAAACTTTTATTCAGGTCTTGGTTTTTTGGTTATTTAATTTTTTTTTAACTGCTTTCTTCTTCCATATTGTGCTTTTTGATTTGAGGGTTTTTTTTGGGTTGTGGTTTTTTGTGTTGGCTTTTTTTTTTAGCTTTGTTTTTTGATCTTGGAAAACTGATGCTCCACACATTTTCTTTTCTTCCATTCTTGAAAGTGACAGAAGACAGCCTTGTAATCAGCCTCCTTTTTATCCTGAGGGAAAAACAAACCAAAATAAAACATAGAACTTGACAAACAGAAAAAGGGAAACTTTTTTTTTTAATATTTTGTGGTTTTGTTATTATTATAGTGTTATTATTTCAATGATTAAAATGTCTCTTTGTACTATAATGCTTTGAATCTCAAAGCATCTTCCTTGGCTTTTGTACATTTTTACATGTTTTTCTATTTCTCTAATACTCCTTTTTCTTCCATTTTTTGCATCAGTCATGTTTTTTGATCTTTTCACTGAAAGGTAGAGCAGATTTGTTGAGCATCTTCATTTGCTAAATGATTTGTATTCTTCAAAGACAGCATAGTGAGTCTGCCCTTTCTTAAAAGAAAAAGCGAAAGACTTGGGTGGGACAGGTGGCTGTAATTCTCTTCTGTCCAATGATGTTGTTCCAGTTCCTAGTGGTCCTCCTCGCAAAGTCGAGGTGGAGGCTGTCAACTCCACTGCTGTTAGAGTGTCGTGGCGCTCGCCTGTGCCCAATAAGCAGCACGGCCAGATACGAGGCTACCAGGTCCACTACGTCCGGATGGAGAACGGGGAGCCAAAGGGCCAGCCCATGCTAAAAGACATCATGCTGGCAGATGCACAGGTAATTGGGACACTCCATTCTTTTCTAGGTCACAGTGAAAACATTTCATTTACCAAAGAGTTGCCTGTTGTCGTTGAGGGGCTTTGTTCTTTCTATTTAACAGTCTGACAGCTAGCATTTTCTGTGTCTATTTTAAAAACTTTTTTTTCAGAAAAAATTTAAACGTTCTTGGGCCAAAACAAAACACTTTCTTCTCTGTTAATCTGCAACTAAATGCTGTCATTGTTCTGATTCTGTTAAACCTGGAGACTTAACCTATACTCTGAAGTTCCAAAGCATCAGGGTGATCTGATCCAGAGTCGGTGTAGTAAATAAAATATGTATGTGCTGATCCACCCACCTCCTATTTCAGTGTTTCAGTGGAGAGCCTAGGATCATTAGAAGTCTGTGTTAGCCTTTTATTACAGTGTTTCTCTGATTAGCTTGCTACACATTCGCACCTTGCTACACGTTTCACAATAAATTAATGTTCTTAAGGTAACTTTAGAAACCACTGAGGTATTATACTTTCCATTATTCATATCAGGATCGTCAATAAAATGAAGAACTTTGTTTGAATAGGTATGTGGTTATTTATATTGCAAAATTTCCCATGTATTTTTGAAATTATGAGAATATGAGATAATTAAAACATCCAGTTTAAAAAGCTTCTCAAACTAGGATTTTACTGATTGAGATATACCAGCACCCTGTAAAACTTAAGATTTCCAAAGCTCCTGACACTGAAGGAGTCATCCTATGGGAAACTATTATCTATTATACATGTCTCACTGCTAGCTCACAGTTTATAACTGGATTGTGTGGAAATAAAAAGAAATTATTAACTTAAATCAAAGAGTAAAATCGGTTTTGTAAGCATTTTACATGGGCAAACAAATAGGTGGTTTTCTTTATCTTTTTTTCCTTTTCAGTTTTGGTTCTGATTTTCAGATTTGCAGAGACCTCTTTGAAGAATAGGTCTACTACACCTGCGTTTTGCTCATAACCCTATTTGCAAAATACTGTGTCTGCTTCTGGTGGACTTTGCTGCCAGTACTTACTTTCTTATTTTGGAAAACATTGTGTTCTTACAGTTTAAATTCAGTGCAGACAAGGATTAAAGTAGATCAGGAAGTGGAAGGGAAAGGAAAGGGAGAGGAGATGGAAAAGGACATGCTAGTGTGCTGTGGTTCTCCTTTTCACAAATTTTTGCTTTCAATCTGTCTGGTAGGGGATTAAAATTATTTTAAACACTAGAAGATCAGTAACTAGAGACTAGATGAGATATTAGAGTCCAAACATCAAAAGGCAAAAGTTGCATTTCTTCTTTTGTCAAGTTTAGCTTTGAGCAGCCCACTTGCCACTGTTCAAGGAAGGATAGTCCTTTCTCTTACCACCACCCTTCCCTGCCTGTAGTACTTCCATGATACATGTGATCAAGGCTTGTACTGGTATGAACACCTTGATGGTAAAACATCTGTGTGGTTTCAAGACTTAATGCATTGAATTAGTTTAGGGAAACTGAAGTATATAGCCTGGTATCATGATTAAATGAGCCAGGTAGCCTTTAATTCTGCCTTGGTAACTTTTTAAAAAAAGTATTAAAAAATAGTACTACATAGTACAAGAGGATTCATTGCTTCTTTTATTTGTCAGTGAAAGAGAAGTAGCTGGATTTTTAGGGAAAACAAAAATGGAATTAAAAATGCCTGGCCTGATATCATTAACTAAATTTCACGTGATTCTACATGGATGATTCGAACTGTACATGACTTTTTCGGGCATCTTTCATACTGATTTTACTCTAAAGAAGAAAACTTTATTTCAACTGGGCTACAAACCTCCTTATTTCTTTTGTTTTTCTTTTTTACTTCCTTTTCTGTAAATTAGTGGGAATATGATGATACTGCTGAACATGTAAGTAGTTTTTGATTGGGCAGAAAAACATTGTGTGTTTGGGTTGAGATTTTTTTGCCTTGCTTGTTTGCTTGTAGCACTGTATGGTTTTGTTTTGGAATAGGGTTGTTTTTTTTTGTGCTTTCTTTGGGTTGGTTTTTGTTTTGCAGGGTGCTTTTTTTTTTGTCATTTGCACAAATGCTCGTTTCTAACATCAAGGGTTTTCTCTTATGACACCTTTTTCCTTTGTTGTTCTTTTTTCTTTTTTTTTTTTTTTTTCCCCCAGGGAGAGTAGTGTTACTGTTGCTTGCCTGTTCTGGGGTTTAGCATGATGCCAAAATGTACAGCACTGATTTGTGTTTTCATCTTTTTGATGGCTGTCACTAACTTTGCCTCACAATTTCTTCTTTACAAGATGATAGAAAAATAAAACAGAAGTCGTTCAGAGTTACATACCAATAGTTGTATTTTTCTGTATTCATTTTAAGGTTATATATATTTTTTTTTGTGTATGTGTGTGTGTAACAGAAAGTAGAAGTCAGTTATGCTTTCTTTTGTATAAAATAAATACATGCCATCAGGAAAGCCAGATGCCCTGCAGTGTTTATGCCCAAGTAATAATGTTTGCTGTATCCAAACAACACTTTAAAACATTACATGCAGCCATAGCTCTTACAACATGAAGTACTGCTTGCTTTAGATGGGGCTAATATCTTTTTAACTCTTTCTGTTTTGTAGTTTTTTGGCAGGTTTTTTTGCCTTTTACAGTTTAATTCTGGTAGTACCACGTGCAGTTTTCTTATGAAAGATATGAAGTCTTTCTTACTGGTTTTGGCCTTACAGTTCAATTTAATTCTGAGATAGAGTCTATGAAGTGTTGTTTCATTTTGTTGTTTGAGGTTTGTTTTGTTTCTTGGTTTTTTTTTTTTACTTGAGCTATTTTGCTCACTCATTTTGATCATTACCTAATTATTTCTATATTGCTAATAACTGACTGCAAATACAATGCTGAGATCTAATTACATATTTACTAAACCCATATCCACTATCTGGAAAAATCCATATACTCTTAATAGTCTGGCCCCTGATTTTTATATTAACTTTTCATAGCTGTTGCATCTGAGGGATGTGTGATTGCACATTTGCTATTTATTCTAGATTATATATATATATATATATATATATATATATATATATATATATATATATACCATCCCTCTGGCAGCCTTGAAATTTAGTGCAAGTTCATTCGGCTGAATGAAAATGCAAAGGAGTAGTCCATTTGCTACAGGCTGGAAGTTGGGGGCTCCAGGCCCATCAGGCTTCCAAATACTGTCCTTTTATATTTACATATAATATATATTTATATCATGAGTGTCAAAACTTACTTCTCTTTTTGTCCCAGTGGCAGGACATAAGTTTAGTACACGTCTCATAGATCATTCAGCATCCTGTGTGTGCACACATGTATGAAAAGATACAAGCAAGATAAAAGATACTCTTGCTCTGAAATTTACACTTGGATGTTCCTGTTACTTTGCTCTAGCTGAGAAAAGCTACTTGTTTTGTAGCTGCTGTCATCTGAGGGCCATAAGATCTCTCCTCTGACTAGATTTTTAGTATTGTTTTACACAGTTCTTTTAGATCTGAAGGGCTGGTTTTTTCTGAAGTCCTTTCAGATGTTGAGAAGTGTAGTCTACCCAGTGACACGGGTTACAATGACAGTGTTATGGGAGTAACAAGGTTTTTTGTTCAGCTAAACCATCATTACTTACAAAGTGTTCATGTAAATGCACACATTTTTCTTAATAGGCATTTTACAGCTATACCAGATATCCTGCTAATGATTAAGTTAAAGTGAATTTCTCATATCTACATGTTCATGTGTTTCACAATGTCAGTATTCCTCACACAAGGTATTTCAGAAGACTTTTCACAGTTCACACCACTAAGCCTTTGGCCTTTTTCTTTAAACTACCTGAAGTATACTGTTTAGATGTGTGCTGTACTTTATTGCTTAACTGAGTGAAATTGCATTATTAAGTATTTCATACAGTGCAGTCTGTTGGTGCACTCACATGCTTGCTATCACTGCCAATAGTGCAAAAGTGTAATATAAATGGGGTTTCTAAAGGACTCTGCATTCTCATGGCAAACAATATATTTTAAATTAATTTTCCTTATTTAATTTTCTTTAATCTTAGGAAATGATAATTTCTGGGCTTCAGCCTGAAACTACATACTCTTTCACTGTGACAGCCTATACAACTAAAGGTGACGGAGCACGCAGCAAACCCAAACTTGTATCTACTACTGGTGCAGGTAATACTTATATACAAATTGAGCTCTAAATGAATCCTTTGACTTTTTCTGCTACTGTTTTGTTCCCACTATTTGGAAATGCAAAGGAGTAGTCCTGTCCCAAACAGTGCTACTGTTTTGTTCCTACTATTTCCTATTGTGTGAAAAGTGTTTCTAGGACATAGAATTTTCTGCTTCAGTATTTGGACTTTAATTTATTTAGATAAAAATAGAGCAGTGACTTCCTTTATCCCTTCTTAGTTCCAGATGAGGTCACTTTATAGGTTTTAGTAGCTTGTCCACTAAAATTGGTGTCTTCTGTGAGAGGAGAAAATAGAAATTCAGAGCTCAGAAGGATATTTGAAACACTTGTAGAGGGTTTTCATGATCTTCATGAAAGTAGCACCACTGCTTCCTGTTAGTAAAAGCGTTGAAAGCATCTGTATGATGTTTACAACTTATCTCAGAAGAATGTAATTATTAAAGCAGAGAATTGGAAAACAGAATGAAACCCTGAAGTCCATATTGATTCAGGGGTAATTTTAGGAACAAACTGGAGCAAAATTCACCCTGCCACTGTGTTCAGTCTGTGTTTGGTCTCAGGTGGTATTAAAGGCTGAATGTCTTGACTGCATAACCCACACAGCAGTTAGCACTGATCCGATGAACTGAACTGGTTTTAGATGAGGAACAATTTATAATTTTTTTTTTAAATGTGTCACTGTGGCACAGCTTAACCAATTGATGCCTCCACAGGTTTACTGTGATGCTTACCTACAGCTGTCCACAATCTTTAGGTATTGTTGTCCATTTTTGGGGGTTTTTAGTGCAGCCATTAAGGATCTTCTGTTACAATCACATATAGCACCATTACACACTCTCTGAATAACAATATATTGTTTATGCTAATAGATAAAATCCAAAAGGCATATATATTTGTATTTATAGTGATGGATTCAATTTTTAAAACAAACATGGAATGCAGAACACATCTTGTATTAATATCAAAACCATCTATATCCTTTTTTTGTTATATCCCTTGGAAAAATCCAAGACTTTGTGACTAGGTGCACAATGCTTGATTTCAAATCTTAGAATACATTCTAGTCACTACTCTTGGCAATTGCTGAAACTTACTTTCTAACTTCTTATCTTTCCTGAATTCTCATACTCTGAGATAGAAAAAAAAAAAAAGGTGATATCTATTTCTGGCATGTATTGGAACTTGACTTAAGAAAAAAATGCACTTGATCCATCACTCTTTTTTAAAGTTCAATTCCTAGTTTAAATAAACACATTTATATAAGTTGTGATTTTATTAGATCCTAGACATAAACATAGGTTATACAAATAGGCTTGCAAAACTTAAAGTTTCACTGCATTTAGTCCTTATGGACCCTTATGGACTGTTCATGTATCACTCTGTCAAGAACTGATGTTTCTACTTGAAAAAGACAGAAGAAATCCTATGTCCCATATAAACTTGATTGAAGAGCAATGGAGAATCAGAGGCATGTCTATAAATGTAATGCATATTGCACTGTTCTTCTTGTTTGTTTAAACCTGTGAATAAGAATGTTTTTTCAACTAGTTACCATTCTGCTCCTTCATACATTCCAGACTGTATGAAATCACTTCACAGCTTGCTGTGTTTGGGGTGTTTTTATAAGAAAAAATTGTATGCAGATTTTTGAAAAATGAGACATTGAATATAATCAGTACCAAGAGCTTCCTCCTCACTTTCTGTGAGAATGCATCACACCAAGGAAGGAACAATGCATTAACACCAAGGGGTTGTAGTCTGTACTGCAATCTCCTATTCACTTTCAGTTTCCATTTGATTTTTTTTTCCTAGAAAGATGCTATTGGAATACTATGATGAAAAATGAAGGATCTGACTTTCTTGTCTAACTTTTAGAGTTTAAATGAGATTGACTAAGATTATATCCGTAAAAGACGTGAAAGGAGAATAGATGTTTGAACATTTACTAAAGAAGCTATCTCTAAGGTATTCAAACAATAAGTAACTATTCAGCTGTCCAGTTAGTGATACGAAAGCATAATTTACATTTTTAGGCAAGAAAGATTCACCAAACATAAGTAAGCTTATAGGATGGTAACTCAGTTATTATTAAAGTCACTGAACACTGTTGATATTTTTATTCAAGAGTGTGGTTTTGTATTATGTTCAGTTTCCTCACTGTTGAAATCAGATGAAACAAAAACTGTTTCTGAACATTTCTAAAACCAAATACAAATTAAAATACTTGGAGCAGAAATTACAAAATGTATGATTAACACGACCTTGATAAAAATGAAGACTTACTAGTCAGTGATATAATACAATTTTTATGAAGATTTTAATCAGACCTTTAATTTCTGTGTCACAATAATTGAAGAATCTCATAGAACAATAGCTTGTCCATTACTTGTCTTTTGCTTTCATACTGGACAGCACTCTTAAAATATAGATTTCAGCTTAAAAATGAACGATTGTATTAAGGCAGTGGTGTACTTTATAGCAACTAACAGAAAAAGGTTACTTCAGGTAATTTGGCAAAAGCAGCCTATGTGAAATTCTACTTGTGGTGGCAATACATTTCAGCAGTAACATCTGTTAACAAAGGGCTGTGTGAACGATGTCTTGCTATTTACTAATGGAAGAGGATTTCACTAGATCAGAGAATATATTTTATTTTATGGACCATTTCACTTCTTTTAGGCTCATGGAAAATTCAGATTATTATCAGAAATTTCTAGACAGCTATTTGGTGACACAACTGTATATACAACTGGAAAGAATCCTGTCATTTTTCCTAAAAAAACTGTAATATTCATAAGTAAATCATACTGAAAGTAAATGTTAATTGACAACTTTCTGGAAACAAAAAGAAATTTATCTTCTTTGCAAATCAGATAGGCTTTACAGTATTAAAAAAAAAAGATGACCATTGTTATTTACTACTTTAGTCACAGGGTATTTATTGCATAAGCAAACTTTAATAGTTCCTTGGTTCTGATCAAGAGCAAATATTAGTTTATTCCTTTCTCTGTAGCTAGCACAGAGGTTAAAATGTCATTCTAATTGTGAAGTCTGCCACATGAACACAAAAAAAAAAAAAAAAAGCAATTTATTACAAAAATAATTTAGTTACACCTTCCAGTAATCTCTCCTGTAGAAAACTGAAGGGGTATTATTATTTTTAGGTAAACTATTATATTCTCTGCTACACTGATTTGAGTAATAGTTAGAATACAGAGAAAAATATGGCCTGCAAAAGGCCTTCACAGACTTCTCTGTGTTCGATAAAGTCTTTTAGTTATCAATGAGGAAAAGTCAGAACTAATCAGAGAGATATTCTTTACACAGCATAAAATGTGGGAAGACACAAGATTCCATAATAATGCTGCCAGGTGAACTCAGCATTTAAATTTAAAGATATTTGGAAAATTTATATAAAACCTACCTATAATTCTTAAGAAATTAGAAGCAATGTCATGACTTACAAAAGACGTAATGAGGAAAGAGTTTACTAAAGGCAGAATTTTCTTCAAAGCATGCCATTCTTCCCTCCTTATTCCTAATTCTTTATGGAATGGTAGTTAGACCTTCTGACAATAACAATCTGATTTGCTGGGTGCTTGAGAACTGAAGATAAGTAATAAAATCTGTTGAAGTGTTTAAATACAGGAACCAGAGCTCACAGTGCAGCAGCTACATTCACATGAGAAGGCTTTGAATGTAGATGAAACTAATTAGTCTTTATTGAAGACCATGTTGTTGCCGTACTACTCCTGAAAGTATTCTGGTTTCTTGACCAGAAATGAGCACCAAATTTCTAAATATGGATATGTTTCATTATCAAATAAATAACTGCAATAGACACAGACTTCTTAGAAGCAGAAGTGTTAATGAAAATATAAATGAAAAGTTACAAATGGATACGAATAAATTAAAATGAATTAATCAATTAAATAGAAACAGTAAATGAGAATTCATATTGAGACTGAAAATGTACACTATATAAATTGAATAATGGCATTTCTGGTTTGATTAGGATTCATCTGGTCTGATTCAGTTCAATTCCTCCTCAATGTCCATACCAGACTTCCAGTCTGAACTTCCCTAAAACACAAACCACTAGCTGGGACCAATGGGTCCCAATTAAGTTTGTGCCTGTATGTATTGTATAGGTTAAGAAAAACTACCAATTTAGCCTTCTTCAAAAGAAATCCAGTTCATGTGCACAGAAATCTTTCTGGAAAGTAAATCATATCTGATAAGCCATGCTGGAAAATATTAAATTCCAAACTGTGCTACCTCACCACACTGGTGAAAAGAATGGAGGCAGAAGTGATTTTTGTATGGAAACTAGAATGACAGAGTAATGATTTTTGAAGTCAAGGTTGTTCTGACTTCTACTACATTTTTACTATTAATGACAATGTTATGTTAAACTTATCTAGAAACTTATTATTTCTTCATTAATTATTTTCCCATTTACAGGAAATGTGCCTTGGATGAAAACTTATAACAGTACTTTTTTTTTTTTTTTATGCAAATAAGGATTTGTGAGACAGGACCATTCATAAGACATTTGTTGGAAGTTTTGCTTCTTGATTTGTGTCCCTAGAGCCTGTGCCTCTGATTATGCTCTGTATTTAGAAATAATGGTGAGGGAAGAAGACAAAAGCAGTAAATGTCTCTACTGTTGAGTTCCTTATGCTGTATTACTAACTAGTGCAGGAGCCAGACACTATTTCTTCATTAGGACAATAATATGTGGAACTAAGAGTGAGGAAAGAGAAATATATCCCTATTCCTGCTAAAACTAGCCTCAAGAATTGTACGTTCAATTGTGTTTATATCTATCCTCTTTAAATAACATTGTGCTACAGTTCCAGGCAAACCTCGGCTTGTGATTAGCCACACACAGATGAACACGGCGCTAATTCAGTGGCATCCTCCAGTGGAAACTTTTGGCCCGCTGCAGGGTTATCGCCTGAAGTTTGGTCGCAAAGACATGGATACATTAACGACCATGGAGTTCTCAGAGAAGGAAGATCACTTCACAGCCACAGACATTCACAAAGGAGCTTCTTATGTCTTCAGGCTCTCAGCTAGAAATAAAGTGGGCTTTGGGGAGGAGATGGTTAAAGAGATTTCTGTTCCTGAAGAGGTACCCAGTGGATTTCCCCAAAATCTCCACTCGGAAAGCTCTACTTCTACATCAGTTCAATTAACTTGGCAGATGCCACTCTTGGCAGAAAGAAATGGCATTATCACCAAATACACCATCTTGTACAGAGATATCAATGTTGCTTACCAGCCAATTGAACTCCCTGTTGTTCCTGCTGATACCACTATGACACTTTCTGGCTTAAAACCAGATACCACTTATGATGTAAAAGTACGTGCCCACACAAGCAAAGGGCCTGGTCCATATAGTCCAAGTGTCCAGTTCAGGACACTACCCGTGGATCAAGGTAGGATTTGTCTGCTTATGGCGTTGACCTTTAAAGGAGTATCGGTCTTTGGATATCAGTGCATTTGAAGGTGTAAATAAAACTCACCACTCCATTCATAAAAATAGGTTCATCAAGCACAAAAGGTAAAGTATATAAATCTTAATATGTTTTGGATGCCTTAGAATTCAGTTGTCCCCTGCCAAGCAAGTTCTGGCATAACTTCTTCACAACATTTTCAGGTAAGGAAAATGTGTGTATTGAGTTGCACTAGATAAGAGTGAGAAGGAGTTTAAATGTGATATTTAAATATGAACAAGCAGGTAGGAATATTGAATTCTTGTTGATTTTTGACCTAAATGGAAAGCTAATACTCCCAAGAAGCAGTAGAAAAATGACAAGATCTAAGCTCCAAGATGTTGTTTATATACATTGTTTCTTTTTTTCCAGCAGTGTTTGCAAAAAATTTTCATGTTAAAGCAGTAATGAAGACTTCTGTTTTGCTGTCCTGGGAAATTCCAGAAAACTATAATTCGGCTTTGCCTTTCAAAGTAAGTTACTTTCCAAGAGAAATAACAGAAACTAGACAATGTATTTTCCTGATTAAGTAGCTTACTGATCATTAATCATGAATATGTACTGGGGATATTGTTGTTTCTAAGATTGCTAATCTTTCATTCACCACTGCAGTATGTTAAAGAAAACAGCAGAAGAAAATTTTTCTTCTTTTTTCTAGTCCTTTCAATAGAAAATACATTCTAGTACCATTTTGGGTTTTGCCTCCTCGATGTACAACAACATATTTTTGATTTGCAATTCTTTTACTCCACTAGCTATAGCTGTATCCAGATACAGAGACTCAGGGTAACATGCAGTCTTGCCTGGAATTTCTTATGCTTCATTCTTAATCACTTGTGTAATCTCAGGCAGTGGCAAGTGAAGAACAGTATTTTAGGAATGAAATGGTACGAAAACCTTTCTAAATAAGGAGTGTGAATGAAAAAAATGAAGATACTTTAAACAAGAGTACCTTGCTATAAATTCTGGGTTCAAGAAAAGCTGCTTACTTTGAAAAAGTGAAATTGGATTTCAAGAGTGTTTACATTGCTTTACATTAATGTAGTATTTTTTTCTTTTCCCCTGAAAGTGAGAAGTTAACTTTCAGTAGTGAATTCTGGACTGCTTTACACCCTAAAGTACCCAAATAAATTAAAATTTATTTATTAGTTAAATTTATACCTAGGTTGATTCCTGAATTCAGTGTGACAGCATCATTTCCCTTCTCCTAGTAACCAAAGTTACTTTTGCGTGTTAAATTAGATCCTTTATGATGATGGGAAAATGGAGGTTGATGGACGTGCTACTCAAAAGCTGATCACAAACTTGAAGCCAGAGACATCATATTCATTTGTCCTGACAAACAGAGGGAATAGTGCTGGTGGCCTTCAGCACAGAGTAACCGCAAAGACTGCCCCAGACGTGCTTCGCACAAAGCCAGTCTTCATTGGAAAGACCAATTTAGATGGCATGATAACTGTGGAACTTCCAGAAGTACCCTCAAATGAGAATATAAAGTGAGTGAATGAATGACATACCATTGTTTTTAACTGCAAAGAGATGATCATTCTAACTCTTGATGGTGGACCACAGCTTTATTCTGCATAAAGAATTATGAAGTACAGAGAGTACAGTACTCTGCAGTAGTATTTGATCTAATATCGGTGTAATGTTTGATATAGTAAGCTGGGAGGTGCTGTTGACTCTCTCAAGAGACAAGAGGTCTTACAGAGGGATATAGATAGATTGGAACACTGGGCAGTCATGAGTGGCATGAAAATTAAGAAGAAATGTCAAATTCTGTTGTAAAGGTCCTTGAGTACATTCAACAGGAGGCAACAAAGCTGATGGAATGACTGAAAAAAATGTCCTGTAAGGAGTGGCTAAGGGCCTTGAGCTTGTCTAGTTTGAAGAAAAGAAGGCTACGGGCTGACCTCCTTGCTCTCTGCAGCATTCTGGAAAGGAATGTCCTGTAAGGAGCTGCTAAGGGCTTTGAACTTGTCTAGTTTGGAGAAATGGAGGCTGAGGGCTGACCTTCTTGCTCTCTGCAGCTTCCTGAGGAGGGGAAGTGAAGAGGGGGCTGCTGATCTCTTCTTACTGAGATCCATTTATAGAACATGAGGCAATGCCTCAGAGCTGCATCAGGGGACGCCCACATGTATTAGGAAACTTTTGTTTCAAACTGGAAGAGGCTTCCTAATCAGGCAGCTAATGTGCCAAGCATGTCAGTGTTTAATACGTATTTGGATGATCCCCTTAATTTGTTTTAATTTTTGGTCAGCCCTGAAGTGGTGAGGTAATGGGAATAGATGATCACTGTATGGCAGTTCCAACTAGAACTCTTAAAAGTTTGTCACATAGCCAAGTATGTAAGATTTGTATGGAGACTGATTATCTTTCAGTTTGCAGATTTTTCTCAGTAATTTTGTATTTCATCATGGACTGCAAAATGAGGGATGCAGAAAACCAGTTACATTTTCAACAAACAATCTCAAAAAGAATGGATAAGCCATCAATGAAAAACTACCCTGCTGTATCTCCTTGAAGTAGTCAGACTAAGTCACTCAAGAATTATATTGAGTTTTAAAGAATCGGTACTGCTTTAAATTAATTCAGATTAATTATTTCTGATAGTGTTATCAGGATAAAAATACCTTGTCCTCTCCACTGGTCTCAGAAGAAAAACAAGAGATTAAGCTAAAAAATTTGGAAGTTTTACAGAGGTTACATAAGTTTTGGAATGGAACAGGTGGTGTGGAAATTTAAACAGAAACAGGACTAAAGACCCAAGAACATGTGGTCAGCAGGGATTAGAAAGGTTGGGCAATAAAGATTTGCCAGGAAAACATGAAGCATGATACAATCAATAAGTGTTATTGCTCTGCTTATACTGATTCCTGTTGATCTGCAAGGTTCCCATATGTAATATAAAGGAAATGGGGAGGAAAATGAGCCAGTCACTAAATGATGGGGATTCAACTTGTCCTCTCCCTGCTGGATTTTTTACAGCTTTCTAGAAAGCTGACCTCTTTTTCATTACTGACTGAAGATTTTCAGGCAGGTAAGGTCAAGAAATAAATGACTTTGAAACATTAAAATGATGAAAAACTTAAAAATGTAGTCATTATCATTAGATTGAGTAAGATGTGGTCAGTAACAAATGCAGCTAAGGAACACTGAGGATGGAATGAGTCAAAAAAGATTTATGAGGCAGAGCAGTCACAGAGAGAAAAATGTGCAGGATAGCTGATCAAACAGCAACAGCAAGATAGCACTGGAATAAAAGACAATTCCCTTTTATTTTATATAGTGTAAAAAAGTTAAAGAGGCTAAGTGACATCAGAAAAGGTACATTAAATCTACAGGCTCCAACTGCCAATTTTGCAAATTATTTATCCCCTATTTGTGCATCTGTTTTATAAGAAGATTTGATCAGGCTTGAAAAAGTAAAACATAGGCTTGACCCTTGGAGCAGGCATACCAAAGCAAGTACATACTGAATGGAAAACCTGACCTGATGCTTGCACCAATAAAATAAGTAAAGTTGTTCTGCATTAGTATTTATATGGGAAGAACAATTTCATGTATTAGTCAAGCTGACATTTTTAGACATGATGGTCCTCTATAGATACATTATATGTTCAGAATTGTCCCTGGCTTACAATGAAGTACTGAGAATTTTTCAATACTAATTACACAGAAAGTGAAACAGGTAATAGATTGCTCTAATGAAGTATAGGTATTGAGATTGACGGTAATGTTATAAAAGCCTTTGTAATATTTATAATTAAAGAAGGTAGTATTTATCAATGTTTGATGGTGATACAGGATAAAAATTGCTGCAGAGATCACCTTATGATTAGTAAAATAATCTCTTTTGCTTGTCTTAAGGAAGCAAGTTCTTAATTTTTATTTCTTTTAGTATTTTGGGCTATTTCCAAAACAATTTTTATGCGTAAAGGATAGTCCATGTTTCACTGAATCTCTAACATCTCTGAAAAGTCTTAAGTAAAAGCAGTTTTGTGGAAGATTTTGACCTCTCAAATACTCAGTAGGTAAAATAATATCCAAATAAACTCTTTGTTTCTCACCCTCCTCCCCCCGCTTCCACAGAAAAAATTCCAACCTAAAAACAGACAAGCAAATAATGAAGTAAACTATAAAATGTTTTTCAGGAGATGCTACATTTTGCACAATTAAGTAAAAATCACAAAACTTTGTTGTCCTTCACAATTTGCAGCACTGCATTTTGGTGTGGAAATTTTCATTTTTCTACTTACTATTGATCTACTTATTCTTTCAGTTTAAAAATGTATTAAAAGTAGATTTTCAACGTTATGAGAGACTTTCATGAGGGAAGTGACAGAGTGCGAAAGTTACAATTATGTGATGATGTTCCTTGATTGAAAAGAAAAATGTATGAACACTCCGTTAGCTTAAAAAATAAAAAGATGAAGAAAAAGAAAAGGATAAGTGCTGCGTCTCCCCCTCGAATCCACGGGAACAGAAGCCCTGTGGAGCCCGGCCAGCTGGGCAGTGGGGCGAGTTGGGCAGAGGGAAGGAACTTCTCCTTGGATCCCGGGCCTTGGAGAAGCTCCCACGTGAGTCCAAAGACGAGCTGGTCCCACAAGCAGAGGAAAGAGGCGCTCTGCCTCAGGATTAGTTCCAAAGTTTAATGAGGGCCTGGAGAGATCCCAGGCCACATCTGACCTCGAAGGACATCCGGAGCAAAAGAGAGAGTCTCCCAGCCCGGAGCAGCTGATACAGGGGGGCAGGAAACCAGAGCAGGGAATGGGGAAGAACAGGGGAGCGGCTCTTGGGGGGAAAGGCCTCAGAATGACCCCTGAGGAGAGGATGGGGAGGAGTCCCAGCCAGGGTCCAGCTACCTGGTGACCCTGGGAGAAGGATCTGGACAAAGGGGAAGGGTCACCAGGTGATGGACACATCACCTCGGAGGAGACAGGGGGATGGGTTGAGGTTTGATGGACATACAGGTACTGATGGGAAAGCTGGATGGACCAGACAGGTACAAAGAGGGGATATGGAGGGACAAACCATTATGAGGGGATATACAGTGCAAACACAACTCTACAGATAAGTGTGTTTCTTTGATGTTTGAAAGACATAGAGGAAGTTTTCATTTCTTTTTGCCTTGATTCTTAGACATCTCTTAAAGAAAGGATATGTCACTCACTGTTTACTAGGATTTGCTATTCAAAGTATTTTTAATAGACCAATGCAGGTTTAAAACCTGGGGTTAACCATCCTTAAGAGTTTTAATATTTTTTTAAAAATTATTTATAATATTGTCACTATAAGAATGCATGCCACAGATGTTTTTTGAAGTAATGAAATAAAACAAGTGGACATTAGTTAAAAATCTGTGGGCAGCACTGCTTTCCAGAGCTTCTGTTGGAGCTTAGCATTCCCACAGAAAATTTCCTCTAATTTCTTGACATAAATATTAATGAATACACGTACTTTCTACAGGAGCTGAAAATCTAAAGTTTTGTTACATTTATTTTATTGGAAAGAGCTTTAAATAAGAAGAGATTTTTTAAATCGATCAATGTCTTGCACTGGTATGGTGAAAAAGATAGTTTAGGGTTGGCTTAGACTGAGATGGTTTTTAGCCAGTATTAAGGCAGCTCCTTTTCTATAGACTCTTTGTTAATTACTTAGGATTTTCAGCTGCTTTTAATGAGTAAAATTAATAGTTTTGCAGAAGGTTGAATGGATTGTAAAAACAAAGCAGACTGAAAGAGGAGATGGCCCATGAGACACTAAAATTATCTTCCATGATGAGACCCAGAAATAACTTAATAAGCTTTTGTTACTACGAGCAAAGTAAATGTTTCTTTCCCTTTCCCCTGATACGGAGAGTGCTTGACTTTTTGACAAGTATGTTTATCAAGAAGATGTATATTATACTACCCTGCATGTCCTGCTGTTGTAATTCCACTGCTTCTTCCCTCACACTAATGTGAAGTTATGGATCTGCTTGACACATATCCAGGCTTTGTGAAGCAGTGAAAGTACCAGATCTCCATCACACTAAAAAATATAATTTCCTTCCCTCCATGGGTGGGGAGGAAGAAAATATTATTAGAGAAATATTTCTGAGGAACACTGATATTTGTAATTTACAAATACTAGATATGAAGAGAGTATATATCAAGCTCTCTTACCTATGACTGTGAACAAGATACTGATGTAGCTAGAACTGGCAATGTAGATGGCATTTGATTGTCAAAAGGAAAGAGAATATGGGTGTGTTGTATGTCCTATCTGCTTCCTTTTCTCTTTATTAGGATATTGGCATTAAAAAATACATTTTTTAAACCTACTGTTCTGATTATACATTAAAATGGGGGACGATTGGTTGGTAATTAAGATTTAAATATATGGTAATATATTTCAATTTAGGGCTTTGAGGGTTTTTTTTCAGTGTGATGGTGGCAAGGCATACATACCTATGGTTCTTATATTTCATGTTGGCATTTTAGTACATTGTAATTAAAGTTTTTTATAAATATTTATATGTTTGCACAAAAAGACAGATAATTGGTGCTATTTGTTTGTCAAATGCTTTACAACTGATGCTATTTCAAGAGTGTGAATGTTTACAGCTATGTTTGGAAGGCTGCAGTGACATAATAATGTGCAGAATATTCTCAACATACCACTTTTCTCTTAAGTTCCTCTAAACAGACCACTCCATCAATTTATCTGTTCCTTTTCATTCAACTTCTCTTTTGTCCAACTTTGTCATTTACAGAGGCTATTACATAGTTATTGTGCCTTTGAAGAGGTCCCGTGGAAAGTTTATCAAACCATGGGAGAGTCCAGATGAAATGGAATTAGATGAGGTACTGTATTCAGTTTGGTTTTTTTTTTTTTCTTCTCCTTTATTGAAGAAGCAGTCTTTCTACTTTTAGGTAATTAACTCACCACTTTTAAAAGTTTTGTCAGGATACTTTATATTTATATTTGTATTAGCCGGTGGAGATCCAAAATAAAAATCATATTACTTAAATGAGAACACAGTATAGACATTAAGTTTCAATAAAGAACACAAAGTGTCTTATATTTCTTGACACTAATATTTAATTCTTTTTCTATTGTAAAGAGTGATGCAAAAGTGCAGGAGGTGAAATGACTTGTCAGCAAAAGCTTAATCACCAACAATATGAACTGTAATAAAGGTCTGGTTCATTAGAGGGGTGTTTACTAAATCTGTAACAAATGCTAAATTGCAATTTGCACCACAGTTTAACATTTGACCTTCTGATACTGTTTTTACCTGATTGTCATATACTGTAATACTTCTGGTGAGCATACCCTCCATTCCATCAACAGTTTGTGATCAGAAACTAATCCATGAACAAGAAAGGAAAGAGCAACATTGTGTCATCATTTGAAACTACAAATGACATTAATCCAAGGGGAGGAAATACTTTCCTTTTATAAATAAGCCCAGCAATGCTAGAAATCAATTCAGTATGTTATTGATATAGTAATAATTCCAGGAAATACAATATTCACCCCCATTTTCTGTTTTACTGAAGGACAGCTCATTTAAACTTGTCCTTCTTCTTTCAATCTGTAAATCTGTAGTAACACTATTGTTTGTTATTTTAAAACTCTTTCAAGGATCCCATATGAGAGACTTTTACAAAAACAGGTTGTAGTGTTATTATTTTTCTTGTTATATCTGGTCAAGATTTTAAATAACATTCAAATGCTGTGGTACTTTGTACATGTAATATTTCTGCAATTCAAGACCAGAATCAGGGGGTTTTACTCCTAATATAGTGTCCTTTTGACCGTATCTATTTATTTTTCTATTTTCTCTTGGTGGATCCAAGAGATTTATGTTACAGAGATAACCTCACCATATGCTTCCTCATAACACAGTTAGTTACTGGGAAGTGTTGATCACCTGCAAGCAAGCATAAAGGTTCTTTTATTTCCTGCCATTGACAAAATGGATACAAATTTTGAATTTTGCACCAAAATATAGGGAGAATACAGATCTTCATCAAACTAAGTGTTGTAAAAAGTATTCAAAATATAAACAGAATTATTTAAATCTTTGTCACAACAACAGGCAAATCCTTAATCAGAATATTAAAAAACAACTGTTCAGAGGAAGGCATGATGACTAACTGATTCAACCCTATGTCTCTTCTTGACCAATTCCATTTATGTGATCATCTCTCTTCATTCAATTGAGTAATGGCTTTGATCTATTAACTGCTTCACTTTAAAAGAAGTTGGATTGCAAATGCCATCAGCTCATGATCATAGTTATAGGTGACATCAAGTACAGTTAAACAGTAAAACCTTGACAGCCACATCCATACAGTAATGGAAACTGATTGAGTATTACCACCCTCTTTTAACATCCAAAGGCTGTAGTCACATTCAGCAGTATTAATAGATTAAAGGATAGGTGCCAGATGACATTGAACTTTTTGGCAATTAAATTCTATAGTTCCTGCTGATTCTCATAACAAAGGGACATTTTAATCATCCTGCAAGTTGTGTTGCCTTAGTCTGTATAACAGATTGATAAAGAACATTTATTAATTCAGAAATATTTGTGTCAGGGTGGGTTGTTTCCCACATCTACTGATATAATTGAGTCCACATTGTAGAATTAATGATGGAAGAAATAAGATATGCATTGACTGGAAAATGAAGTTATTTCTGATAAAGAACTAAAGCCTTGATATATCTTTTGCAATTGCCACCAATAATATAGCAAGAACTGAGCAAGGAAAAACATTAAAAGCAGGCAGCAACTGCATATCATGCTAACTCATTCAGGCTCTATTACTTAAAAGACTGGTTTGCTTCCAACTTTGGAAATTATGCATTTTATTAAGTGTGCTACTCCTGACAAGTTTGTGAACACAATAAATACATTTGGAAAAAAATAACAAAAACAACAACACCCCCCNNAAAAAACCCCACCAAACCAAACCAAAGAAAAAATGAACCAAAAAAAAACCCCAGAATAAAAATAAACAAACATATAACAAAAAACAAATATAAAACCTCAACAAAATAAAAAAAAAAAAAAATAACACCACCCCTCCAAAAAACCACTACTCTCTGGGCAAATAGTTCCAATGATCAAGTGGGGACACTTATACGTATTTATACTTTAAGTATGATCTGAGATATGTGTCTGGTATCAGAAATGGTTGGGTAATAGATATTTCAAAAAGCTATGTTCCAAATACTTTGCTTAGATTGTCAGAAGGAAAGTATTTGCTAATAACACAGCTCTTGAGTATAACTCCATTACATAATTGAACAGTCCAAAAAGACTCTGCAGCCTTATTGTAGTTACCTAATCTTCCTGCTCCTTGAACCTCAGCTCTGAAAGAAACTAAGATAGCTTTAGAAGAGCAGGTAATGAACTGGATGTTTGGTATCTGAAAAAAAAAATATTAGAGATACAGTCCTTTTTTATTAACTCAAAATTTCTTTTTTTTTTTCATAAGATGAGGTTTAGTGACTTTAAATAGACAAGTCATGCAAATAAATGAAACAGAAAAAATATTATGATTTTCAGTAAGTATTGCCTAGTAGGATTACTTTAGATCTGTAAGCAGTAAAACCTAAATAAAGGTTGCCATGTTAAATATTAAATTAATTCTGTAATTTTATTGAAATCTGTATATAGAGTACAATAGAAGATAGATGAACATGTAATGATATTTGGCAACAACCCAAATTCCATATGAAACATTAATGAGGCTGGAGGTTCACCTGAGGTCTACTCAGTCATGTGTAATCAATGTTACAGACAAAGTTTTTATCTACACACAAACACACCTAAGTTAATTGGCCTCAGGTGATGTATAACCATGTTTGAAAAGTTTAACTAATTTTATTTGATCAGGCTAACTTTTAGCATTCATAGCCAAAACTCAGTTTCTGATCACTCTAATACTGTACTTCAGCACTGCATTTTCTTCCAATATATGTGTTTTCTGTTAATATTTCAAATGCAAGAAATAATCAAGATCAAACATTTTTCTTTGCTTCTCAATCTAATTTTGATTGCAGTACTCCTACTGTACCTTGACATTTTATTATGAGTTATTTATAATCTAAATTGTAAATCTGGAAATATATGATAAAGCATAAAGAATTTAATTGAGGCAGACTCACAACTTTAATTCCAGTGGAAGTGGTAATGGAGGTATCCATTATCTTTGGGGATGGCACAAGCCGTATACTTCTACTAGTGCTGTTGTGTTTGTGGCTCCTGACTTTACAGGAGTAGCATGTGCTGTTACTACCCAATACTTAGCTTCGTGTTTTGGCAGACTTCCAGATAACCAATGCTCAGCACTCTGCATAGCCCTTGTTATAAAATGTGGCATCATACAGAGACAAACTTTTCAAAGTGCTTCCCTCAGCAGATCTTATGAGGGCTGATCTAACCTGGAACAATCTTTCACTATTCTCTGCCTCATGTTCTGCATTTAGTAACTCTTCACAGGGCATAGGAAGCTACCAACAGATGTAAGAGTCACCTTCAATAAAGTGACTAAATAGAAATCTCTTCAATATTATGGTTCTCTGCTGCCCTCATTTTTATACGACACAAATAGACTCTAGCTGCTCATTAAACTGTTTAGGAAGAATGAAAGAGAAATATGGACTGCTGATTGGAATCGTGTCCTTGAGTAATGAATAACGATTTCTAGTCTCAAATTATGGCTAGTTCATTTTTTGCTCAGGGGATCCATTGCACTGTACCAGCTTTTGTGTCATGGCATTGAATTTGATAGAGGTAAATGGATGTAAAATCTGCAACAGGGCACAGACACAGCATTAGATCTGGAAAGCAGTTGACTGCATAGATGTTTGAAGATATAACATCCAAACGCCCTCAATGTTAAGAAAGCCTGTATTCAAGTGGCACAACTTGCTTTCATATGTATCTGCAACCTTCAATTTAGTCAGTAAGAAGGGGTATCAAATTATTCAATATTAAAAGCTTCTTTCTGAGTAGTAGAGTGAATATTAGGTTGCTTTACATGCATTGCAGTTGTGAATTGTGCAAAATACAAGATCTAGTAAGGGGAAGACAAAAAGATGTGTTCATTAAGCTGTGGCTTAAATCAAAAGGGCATGGAATATGGTGAGGGGCCTTGAGGATGGAGGCACATGGAATGACTCTTGGGACTATCCTGTGCAGGGCCAGGACTTGGACTCACTGATCCTTGAGGGTCTCTTCCAACTCAGCATATTCTGAGATTCCATGATTCTGTGGAGAACTTCCCTGACTAAATATGTATTTTGAAATTAATATATATAGTTAAGACTGGATTTTAGTATCTTTTATTTTTTATCACCTTCTCACTCCAGAAATTTGTTTCCTCCTTCTAGAAATTAATTTTTTGCTAATCTACTGTATTAGAAGTGTTAGTGTGCTGAAAAGACTAAACAACTACTTAGAAAAATCTGTGATTTAACTATAAAACTGCAGGACATTGTCTAAGTTTCATAAGCAAACATAAGGGAACCACAAAGAGACCTTAGAAGTCATAATTTAACACACAGGAGAAGTTCAGACTCCTTGTAATCAAATCAGACTAATTTTTGTGGAATGCCATTATATGTAAAGCAAAAAAAGGTATTGAAGAAACATTTGTCTGATTTAATAAGTAATTCATCAATAGATTATACTAGCTGAGCTTAAGTTCCTTTATTACTAAGTGTATGTTTTCCAAGCTTGAGCCTACCATCTGGTCTTGTCACAGATGTACTGATGTAAATTTTAGCTTTGTTTATCAGAAAAGGTGATTTAGTCAACATTCCTGGAGGTATTTAAAAAGATTTGTAGTTTTGGTGATTAGGGACATGGTTTAATGGTGGACATGGCAGTGTTAGACTAATGGCTGGAATCAGTCTTAGAGATCCTTTCCAGCATACTTGATTCTATGATTCTATTCTATAAGAGAAATAGATAGATAGATAGATAGATAGATAGATAGATAGATAGATAGATAGATAGATAGATAGATAGATAATATTAAAAATTAGATTTTTTAAAAATAGATAGAAAATATGTAATATGTTATGTGTTTTTGTATGTCTTCAACGAAAATATATTGTTTTCTTATTCTCCCTCTCCCAGCCTCCTCCTAGACACAACAGTACCTAAAAAATATTTTATGTTTGTAGTCTGGGCACTGCAATTGCCTCCTAGTATCTTATCCTAACAAGAACTACAAGAATTTGGAAAATTTTGCAATTGATTTAGTGATAATGATATGTCCCATGAAATGTAAATAAATTGTTTTTTGTAGTTTCTGGTCATGCATTAAATGTTCTCATTACACTGTCAAAAAGTTATGTTAAAACTGTTTACAGTTATCTTTCTGTTCATGCTTGCTCTCTCTCTCTCTTCCCCTGCCTTTCTTTTCCCTCCCTTCATTTTAAAGCTGCTTAAGGAGATAGCTAGGAAACGCAGAAGCATTCGTCTTGGGAGAGAAGTTGAATTAAAGCCATATATTGCAGCTCACTTTGAAGTTCTTCCTACAGAATTCACATTGGGGGATAAGAAGCATTATGGTGGATTTGAGAATAAGCAACTGCAGAGTGGTCAAGAATACGTCTTCTTTGTGTTGGCTGTAATGGAGCACTCAGAATCTGTAAGTTAGTTAATGTTTTTCAATATCAGAATTACCTTACACAACCACGAAAACATTTTTTCAATGCTTATTCCACTTCTCTAAAGCTTTTTTTTAAAGTCAGAGCATCTTTAAAGTGAGTGTTTCCTTACTCAATGCCCATTAATTCTTTGAACTCTTCTATTCTGTTTGTACCTTTGTGTATTACTTTGGCATATAACTGAAACCTAAGAGTCACCTTTTATTAGCTGTGTCATGATCCTTTAAAAATTACATTGTGTATTTTTTTTGACCATGGATGCAGCTTTTGAGACATGAACTTTACAGCAGCATCTTTATGTATTTAAAAGAATTTAAAAGCTGGTTTTTGGTGCTACCATTGAATAATGGTCTAGGATATACAGGGTTCTTGGAAAGATCCATTGAACTAGAGACATGCACAGCTACCTGTCTAGTTAGTCATTCCATAACAATTTTATCAGTAAATTTTTAGAAAATTAGAAAATAATTCAATAATAGGGAAAATTCCTGAGGTGAACTAAATAATGAGCTGTCATTTCTCTTTACATAATTCATTTTGTAGTCACATCCCTTTATGCGTGAATTAAGCTAATGCATGTAATGTATTATAAAAGAAAAAAAAGACAGATGTAAGACTTTTGAAAGATGCAATACACATTAGCATTTTAACATATAGTGTGTAATACAGTGTGTTTCTAATTCATAACTAAACCTGACAGGTACATTTGCAGGTTCAATCACTTGAAACTCCAACACAAATACTCTGAATTCTAGTCAAATGCTTGCAGTGCATAACTCTGCAATTGCTTTCTTGGTGTCAATGGAATGTGCCTATTTAAGCATGATGAGGAGGTAGTTCCACTTTGAATACTTTTAGACACACAGCTTCATTTGAAAATAAAGTGCCTCCTTCCTTGCTAACATAAATCAAAAGTTCTCTTGTCACTTTTTGACATGGGTTGCATAGACAGATAATTCTGAAGGTGTTGAATCAGATTGGAGACGGTAAACAGCTTTTTACTATAAAGTTAAGAGGCCAGAAATCTGTATATCATAAATTACCTATACTAAAATGAATCTTCTCAATATAGTGCATTTTTTGTGTGTTTTGTATTAATTAAGGTATAAATTACTTAAATGTATTGCTTTGTTAGAAATCAGGAAAAAGCAGGAACAAATAGGTTTGTAAACTGATGCATATGGCAAAATGTATATAGGGTCCTACTCTTGAAAGACTTCAAAAGGCATTAATGAACTTAGGCTATCGATAAGACATTTCAACATGCCCTCTGAAACATCTGTGTGATTGAGTAGCATTGAGGTAGTCACAGACTATGAAAATTTTTTAAGGGTGTGCAAGACTCAGCTTTCAATGACTTTCAATGCTTGAGTATATCAGCTCCCAGCATATATAGCTGATTTTCTTTTAGGACTACAGGTTCTACTGACATAACTTGCAAGTGATGTTTTTCTTGGTGGTCAGATGTTACATTTTACATAAGGCTTCTTATTCAGAGAGCACAAAATTTCTCTCTTGATTGGTAGAATAGAGAACTTGAATTAAAAGAGGTCATGGGAAGGTCTGAATTTGTTTAACTTAGTAAAATGGGAGCTGGAGAGCTATGATTAGAATCTATAAATACGTTAAGAATGTCATCAAGAGGAAGGAAAAAATAAGATAAATTTTTAAAATAATAAATGAGTTTAAATTTTTCATTAATACAGGATGGTTTAAATTGAAAGTGAAATCCTATTTATTGCGGAAAAGGTAGTAAGTGTTAATATTCTTGCCCTCAATATCCCTCTATATCTTTTTCCAGGCATTTTTGCTGCCCACTCCAAAGCAAGAAGAGAAATATAAAGAGTTACTTCTTGTAGGAATGAACATTTTTATATTTCTTGAGAGTACTAAACCTGGGAAAAAAAAAAATCAGTCTACTTGGGTGGTGCAGGAATGGAAAGTGAAGACTCCTCAGTTTTCAGACAATGGTCATAGACTTAAAACATGGGGAGGTGTTGATGTCAGATGCCAGGTGTAGCAAAATCCTATAACATAACTGGATATTGTTGGCATAGGTGCTACGTTAGTAACAATAAGTGCCTCAGCTTTGCCAATCCTAATCCTGTCTCAAAGCCAGACACTGTCATAGCCCAGAGCCCAAAACACGGCCAAATGAAGTGTAAAAACTATGTCTCCTTTGATAACACTTCTCCTAGCTTAGGGCATCTTTCAGAATACAGTGCAAACATAAATGGAAGCTAATCTCTTCTCCCGGTTATCTTACTCTGTTTTAGCTGACATTTCTGATCTACTACTGAATCAAGTTTTTAAGTATTTTTTAAGATCTCTAGTTCAAATCCTAGTTTAGTGCTGATGAAGACACACTAGCACAGATAAGAAATATGTACAAACAATTTTGCACTTCTGACTTTAACTCAGAATTCTTAAAATGATCCAGTTTTAGCAGGCTGACTCTTCAGCCTCTCTAGTCTGTAATTTTAACTCTGCACTCAGCCACAGATGAAACATCTCAGGTCAGACAAGAATTTTTAAAAAATTCTCTTACCACAGATTTTATCCTAGGCCACCTGGCTTTACATCATCTAGTAAACCAAAGGGTTTCAACAATCTCTGTTGGTTCATAATTCTAGTTTCATCTTTATGAAAGACTGAGTGTATAGCTTCCATTCTTATTCTACAATGAATTCTCCCATTTTTCAGTCTTAAATTCAAGTTTTCTCCACCTTGTGTAGGTATATTCTGTCAGACAGTTTTTGACTGGTCAAAATGCACAGTACTATTGTTGCAAGACCCTTTTCAAGGAACCTTTTACATTCAGTCCCGTTTATTTTTATCTACAGCAGTCTCATGTCACAAGTACCCTTTCATAATGTGCAGGAGGAAAGTGTTAAGCTGGCATGAAATTAAAACAAAAACTAAAAATTGGTAACTGGTGGGCTATTCTCAGTGTCCTGTTCATTTTTTCATTCTCTGCTTAGGTTGCAAAGTGTTCTGCAAGGACTGTGCTGCATGATTTGTCTGCAGGTCATTGCTAATATGTGGAACACAAAATAAAGATGATAATAACAACACTCTGTTCAATTTGCAAGTTTGTGTATTGCCTTCAAGAAAAATAGCATTTGCAGTTTGCTGTGGTAATTGCATCATTACCTTCTATACATTTATTTTAGATGTGGGATAGCTACATTTTAATGCATTGCTTCATGATTAAGTACAAATTATTTTTATTTCTACAGACCATGTATGCAACAAGCCCATATTCAGATCCTGTTGTGTCAATGGATCTTGATCCCCAGCCAATTACAGATGAGGAAGAAGGCTTGATTTGGGTTGTTGGACCAGTGCTTGCAGTGGTGTTTATCATCTGTATTGTTATTGCTATACTTCTTTATAAAAGGTAGGTCTATCTTTTAATTTTCTTGCAAGGTATGTCATTTCCCCTCCATATTGATCACATTGTAATACTGTTCTAGACTGTATTTTTGTGCTGCAATATTAACTGTCATTGCTTTGCAACATTTTGAAATTTATCAATGGCTTCTAGACTGCTGCAGAAATGTTTGACTGAAAGTTTCCAATAATTACAGGTATGCGAGTACATTTTTCTGCTGATTACACTATATTAACTCTATTGCATTTAAATGTTTTTTCTACTTTGCATACATTTGTATGCAAAGATACATTTGTATGCAAAGAAAGTAAATATGTGCTTGCACATAAATATGTATGGAATTTGCACATTTGACTTTTTAGAACTTGTTTATAGATGTATAATAGTAATGCATTAGGGGTTACATTCAGCTTGTTTTAAATGTGATTTTCATCTCCACTCAAGTAATTTGAATTTCAACTTTTGACAGTTGGCCTCAATTTGGCAATGTATCTATATGAATTTGGAGCTGTAAACTGAGAGATTAAAGAGACATCAAATAGCTGGTTCCTACTAATCTTGCAATAAGATCAAATTTCACTCATTCTTCTTTCACTCTCTATGACACAGATTTACTTTTGCTATTACACAAAGGACTTCCTTCTGCCCTACAACATGCTCAGTGAAAACTGTGTATGATGCCATAATTTATATTTAGTGGCCTTTTACAGTGTAAATGAATTAACACAGTTCAAGATACTAAATCAAAACCAAAGAATAAAACACAAAAACTTCTATCTTTAATTCCTAATACATTTTTGAAATATATTGACAAAGTAGATTTGACTTATATTACAAAGATGCTGCCAATTTCTGAGGAGGGGGCACACTAGGAATAATTGTATAAAATGAAGCATGTTTTCTAAAACTAATGGCTATGATGTTCCTATTATGTGCATATAAATATTTAAATCCTAGTCTGTATGCTCTTCCCACCTTTAGTGTCTCCAGTCAAATACCTCTTAAGTTTCATGAAGAGAACTCTCTTCAGGTTTTGGAAGGAATTCTCTGTTTGGAAGTAAATAACCACTCCAGAGTTAACTTCACCTTTAGACTGCAGATAGATATACATTTATAGAATCGTTTCAGGGCTAGAATCATACAGCATCTATTGCTTACAGATACTACATCTGAACGTTTCTGGTAGTTCATAGTGTCTCAGTCAATCAAATTAGTTACCAACTCTATTTCAGTCCATCACTTCAAAAACTGGTCATTGGAAATGTGCTAGAAATGAAAAACTCCTTTCTTCTAATTATTTTAAAAGTAAATTTTCTCCCATTCTACAAAAGAAATCCAAACAATAGTCTATTAAGTAGATGTGCAACTGCTTCTAGAGTTACTGATTACATTTATGAAACCAAAATAACAATCTTCTAATCTATTATAAAAAAAAAAAAAAAAGGGAATATTCCACAAATAAGCAGGTAAAATTTTCCCATTAATAGTATGAAGAGATTGTCATTCGCTGAGAATGGGGGACATGTATTCCATCTGTTATTTACTACTTGTACTGGAACTGTTTGGGCAACTGTCCATATGTATTTATTTATTTTTCTATTTTCAGCTGTTTATTCTAATTTGTTAAACTACACTGATTTGGCAAATTACCTCCAAGAAATTATGACTGCAGTTTTAGCAGTCTGTGGTCCTCTATGAGCTTTTCTTTCTATAAAAATTTAGTATATAATTGAATATTTTTTCCAAGAGCAGGCAACCTGAATGCAAGTTTACTGCTACATTTTGATAGATTTGCTGACTGTAGAAGAGCAATGACAAGACAGTTGGGATATTTAACATATTGCTTCAAGAAAACAGTGCAGTTTAATTTGTGAGTTAAATAGACTTATGTGGCTACAGGAGTTAGATGGGGAAAATATATTAAATAAATGGGCAAAAAAGTAATTTTTGTGGATACAGAAAATTTTACAAGTATATTTCTAGAATATATTGGGGTATAAGTGCAACAAGTATTATAGTGAGAAAAGAAAATGAAGGTAGAGGGCATCAATCTAATTATTAACATATATGCAAAAAATATTACTGAGGATTTTGTTAAAGAATATGCAGTGCAAAGAGGACAATCAGTAAATGACCGTGTCTTCTGAAGTGCAAAGAGTAGTAACTCAAATAAAAGTCAACTGTGCTTAATTCCCTTTGTCCATAGAAACCTTTTTGTACAGACTTGGACCACTAAGCTCTTGATTTACAATATTACTTATACATTTTAATTACAATTACAGAGAAAATACGACTGCAGTTTCCAAAAGAATAGTTTTATGGGGAGAAGTCTTCCCCTTCTTTAAAACAGACATCATTAGATAGTGTGGATAAGTTTCATGGGTTGGTTTGAAGTGCATTTAACTGTTCCAAAGACAAGGAATGCATTGTTTGAACTCTTTAATATTTGTTGTTAAGCTGTAAAAAAGTTATTGCTTCTGCATTTACTTTTCCTGAAATCTGAAAGCCAAGATATTTAATGGACAGGTTTTTGGATCATACATTGGAATATACCCAAAAGGTCATTGCAGCTTAGTAAGTAACAGTAATAGATGAGAATAATACTGAAAAATACGTTTTCTTCTCATTGGGCATACTATTGGTATAACAGCCAACACAGATGAAGCCAATTAATATCCTGTTTGCAGAACTCACAGATTCCCAGAATCAAAAGGACAGACCTCTGGAGCATGTCTCATCTCAGCCCTGTTCAGAGCATGGTCACCTGCACCAGTTTGCTCAGAGGCAAAGTTTTGTATAGCTAAGAAAGGAAACTCAATTACCTTTCTGGGCAACTTGTTCTCATATTCAACTATCCTCACAGTAAAAACTACTTTTTCCTGAGTTACCGTTGACTGTGTCTTGGCAAATGGAACTGACTTGGCCATTAACCAGTTCAGTGGTCTGCCCTTTAAGCAGTGAAACCACCCTGCAGTCATAGTAAATGGAGACACCTATTTTGGAGTAGATCTTTCCATCTATTAAATTTTATAAACAATCAAAACAAGGGATTCAAATAAATTAGATAAATCTTGCTTTATTTTTGGCCATTTTCTTGTTGACAAGAAAATAAAATTTTTCTTTGTTTGAAGATGGAGTATAATATTCAGCACAGTACAATTTTTATCCAAAATCTCAAACAAAAGCAAACCTGGATAGATAGATGGTGTAAGTCCTAAAAGAAATGCCCAACCATTTGGAGGTCTGCTTGAATCACAGTTTACATATATTTTATGTGTTTGCTACATGCTCAGTTACATAAGATTTGGTTAGTTAGGAACTTAGGAAATGTTAAAGAGCTCTAGAAATTGTGTGGTGTTTCTCAGAAATGGACAAAGTGATTGTCCCCATGATGCATCCTGCTGTCATGTCATGTCATTCTCAGGTTTTAGGTCTATTTTTCTTTCTTTTTTTTTTTTTTTTTTTTTTTTTTTTTTTTTTTTTTTTTTTTTTTTTTTTTTTTTTTTTTTTTTAGTAAATTAATTTATATGGATGGATATTCCTTGTAGTTTTTAAGAAATCACAAATTCTCTAATTTCAGTTTTCCACTGATGAAAAGCAAAAGGTTCCTCATTCTAAATCTTTAATTTTTAAGGAAGAGAAGTTAAAGCCATCTTGACAGACTTCGTATTGTTTGCTTTTATAAAGTGCAGCTTTTTGATTTGATTAAGAAGACTGTATCCTAAACTTAAATCTTTTGAACATAGTAGCTCTAGCACTCTGAATCATAGAATCATAGGTTAGTCTGGGTTGGAAGGGCCCTTTAAAGGTCATCTGGTCCAACCCCCTGCGATAAGCAGGGACATTTTCATCTAGGTCAAGTTTCTCAGAGCCCCATCCACAGGCCTTTAAAGTATCTAGGCATAGGGCATCCACCACAGCTCTGGAGAATCTAATTAAATAGTACTTCATAGCCTTCATGATTAAAAAAAAAAAAATTCTTTCTTCTGGCTAGACTGAATCTACCCTCTTTCACTTTAAAATCATTACCCCTTGTTTTGTCATTATGGGCTCTACTATAAAAGCCTGTCTCCATCTTTCTTATATGCCTCTTTAAGTACCAGAAGGATGCAAGAGAGTTTTCCAAAGCCTTCTGTTGTCCAGGCTGAACAATCCCAGTTCTCTCAGCCTTTCTTGTTCCATCCTCCAATGATTTTTGTGACCCTTTTCTGGATTTACTCCAACAGATACATGTATTTTTTGCACTGATGACCCCAATACTGGATGCAGCAATTCTAGTGGGGTCTCATCAATTGGAGTAAAGGGGCAGAATCTCCTCCTTTGAACTGCTGGTCCCCTGCTGAATCTTGAGCTATAAGAAGAGATACACTTCTAAAAGAAAATGTTAAGATGTTAAAAAAAAAATTAAGAATCACATAAATGCAAAACAGAAAAAATAGGAAATCTTAAGTGATGATGAAGAATATTAAATACTTTCTCATAATGTGTGTAATCTGGTCATTGCAGAGTAAAAGCTATTAAAGTATTTGTAGAATCCCTGTTTTTTATGAACACGGAGAAAGATAAACACTGTAGTTATAGTAGTGTGTGTATAATAGAAAGAACACATTGGTGAGAGATAATAAATTATTTTTCCTGTTTACCTAAACTTTATAGATCATAGATCACTACAGATCTATACAGATCACTGTAGACCTCTAGTATATGGCATTCATTCTAAACCTAAAAAGGCATGTAATACTTCATTGGAAAAAGATTTATGATTCCCTTGCTTTCCAGGGTACTCTTAAAAATTTCTTGATATTTTATTAGCTGGTTTTGTAAAATAGTTTTAGAAGTTTTCATTTATTTTTATTACTTTTTTTTAAAATTTAGAACAGGTCTTATGTGTCTCATATATTTAACCTTGTTCATCACTTCCTTTTCTCTTCTTCTTCTCCCTTTCTCTTCTTCCCATTCTAGTCTGCCTTCCCCTTTCATTTTTCCTCTCTTCCCTCCTCCCATTTCTATTCTCTCTAGAAAGAAAGAGGGAGCAACATCTCAGTGAGAAGTAATTTTTCAATGTAATGTTAACATTACTTTCACAGCTCAAATTAATCACCCATTCTCCATTATCTCACTGGCTAAAATTTGAAGTCTCATTTCTTGGCAGATAGAAGTGTATTTCTCAACAGAAGATTCACCTGGGACATGACCTTGGGTCCTCCATTAATTCTATGATTTCCAAGAATTGGATATTTTGATGAGCCTCCATAGCTTAATTTGGTTTAGTTACATATCTTTACTGCAAATCAAAATTTCTTGCATCTCCTATTTTCATGATTATTCTCTGTGCTGCTGATCAACTAACATTTCACCTTTTCTTCCCTCCTTGCTGCATTAAAATGGAGCAGTAAACCTGACAGGTGAGAAGTGAAAAATAATCACTCTTCATTTAATACAGAAAAGGAGAAAAAAGAGAAAAGTCATCATGATAATGATCTAAGGCAAAGCATCTCTCAGTCTTAAGTGAATGTAGGCAGTAATCTATCAATAAGGGCAAGTGCAATATTTTCTATGTTACTTACAGCACTGAAAAATAATGTAATACAAGTAGCAAAGTTTCATTGAGGTTTTTTTGTGTCTCCATGGGGTAAATTTTCAAGAGAGAGTAGAGCTCGACAATGCTCAGATGATTTTATTTGTGTTTTAGTGACATGCAATGAGTGGTTGTACACAATAACCAAAGTTCTTGAAGGAATCCATGGTTGTAGTTGAGGCATTAGCTGCTCTAAATGTTCACAATGTCCAATATACATAAACTCAACACTGACTTATAGTTCTACCAGTGAAAATTATACAGTGATATAATTCTTCCTTTTTGGAGTTTTTCCCCACCTATCTCAGAATCATTACATAATCTGGAATAATTGAAATGTCTTCTACAGGCTGGAGAGATTAAAAAAAAAACCCAGAATATTCATCCAATTACTAATACGTAATAAATCATTATGGTATTCTATAAGTATTCAAAATATTCAGATACATGATTGGAAGAGATTTTAGCAGTTTTATTAGATTATTATGAAATTGCAGCCTGGTACTAACTTTCAAGTAGAAAAAAGTTAAATGAAGCTTGTCCTTGGACAGTTCCAGAAACTTAAGGATACTTAAGACTCTTAAAGAAAAGGAAGTACAGAGTAATAGACTTTTTGAAAGCTATATCACACATCTTCAGTAAGAAGAAAGAGCACTAGGGCCAATGCTACTGTGAAAGGAGTTTGGAATAGTCAAAATCTGAATAAAGTACTCTCAAATGAGTTTATATGTACTAATTTTGTTTTAAAAAGACTAAAACAGAATAATCAGATTTAAATTTTTATTGCTTCACTAATGAGAAATTAATACATATGTTAAGGTATTTTCTGGAGAACAGGTGGAGTGTTTTTACAGTAAAAATTTATTTTTTCCAATAAAACCATAGGACTAGTGACTTTCAGAAATTCAGTCAATGGTATTTGACTTTTTTGCATAACTTTTGTAATCTCACTGAATGTCATGTGGCCTTCATTATTTCAAAAGCAGTAAGAAATTGACTGGAGTAATTACAGCTTTATCATTGTCACATTGTGAATCAATGAGGAAAAAGAAAGTATTAAGTTAATGTTAATACTGAGCACCTGGAAAACATTCTGCTATCATTATCCTTAAAATAATCTCAGCTCTGTTTTCACAACATAACTCTTCCTCTGTTTCCTTCTTCATTTTATGTTACATAAAAAATATCAGCCACATTGTTTTTTCATTCAGGACCCCACAGATAATTTGTGAAGAAACACTGTCTGTATAAAAATGCAGAGCGGTAGCTACTCTTCATGTGACACGGTTCTCCATGTTTTGCATCAGATAATGATATGTACAAATAACAGAAGTCAGTTTTAACAAAAATGTCAGTGAGAACACACATGGATTTTGCTTCTCTCTAGAGAAAGGGAAACATAGACAACTTTCTTTCTCTTTTTTCTCTTTCATTCTGTCTTTTTGTTTGTTTGTTTGTTTGTTTTATTTTCCTTCATTTGCAGTGGAAGTATTAATTTGATTATAAATATTCATACAGATCTAAGCCTTGAATATATGTAGACCTGATAAGACATATGAAGATTGCATATTTCAGCTGTTACAGAGATGAGAGGAAACAGAGCACATTCTTATGTCCTAGAAAGTGAAAAGAATAGATGTCTTCTCGAATAGGTGTCTTCTGTACTGTTTTTTCTCATATTAAAAATACCTAAAGAATGCATATTATTTTTTCATAGCAATGCAGAACTCTGTGTATAAGATAAGAAATATTTAGTGCCAATAACTTGGGGTGGTCTAGCTCAAGCGTTGGCTGCTTTTTTTATAAAGGTATAGCTAGGTAGCATTTCAAATAAGAGAATTGCCTGAATTTTTATAGGTTTAGCATTATAAAAGTAAAGTATTAGGATGACCAGAAGAATGTTCTGGAAGAGCAATTTACAGCATAATGCAGCTAATTTCTCTCTGACCATTCTACCACTGCAAATTGTAGGTACCCAACCCACTACACATATCTATATTACCTTTGCACTGCATCAAATACTTTTTCAGAAATAAACATCTTGCCTTTAGCAAATAATGCCAAACATTCAGGTACCTTTGTCAAGCTAACATGTCTATCTTCTGTTTATGTGTATTCACCTTCTCCATGCAGGAAGAGGGCAGAATCTGATTCTAGAAAGAGCAGCATACCCAACAGCAAGGAGGTCCCCTCTCACCATCCCACAGATCCAGTGGAGCTGCGACGCCTTAACTTCCAAACTCCGGGTAAGTGACAATATCACACTGAGAACTCTGTGATCACAGGCTGATTGCTGATGCTATTACAGAAAAGAAACATTGGATTGTTTGAAAGTATGTATTCGAAACAAGGGTTTTGGGGGGTGGGTTTTGTTTTTGTTTTTGCTGCAAAATATGTTTCTTCATTAGCTTTTAAAATAATTAAGTAATTTCTTTATTTAAAAGAAAAGCCTGCTTCAAAAAACATTTGAAGTTTTGTAAAAAAAAGAAGCCGAAAGACACATATGCTGTATGAGTGTTCTTTATCTGCTGAAATTCCAGCTTAATCCTAACAATGATAGAAAATATTACTGGGAATGTACATCCCTCTGTTTATTAATGATATGTTTATGGACACTTCTTTATAAATAAGCTTCCCTTTTATCTAATGCATTATCAGGTAATATTAATATCACTGTGAATTCCACTGTTTTGCAAATGTACAATACAGAAGAGAAATACATAACTGGATAAATTCTCTTGATGTTGAAAACAAGGCTGTATGGTATGGTCAAGGAGGATATTAATACGTCAGTAGTTTTGAGGTCAAAAGGAACACACTCTCAAATAGTTTATTAAAGTTTTTTTCATTAATCACTGTTTTACTAAAGCTGTTTAATCTGATAGTCAAGAAGCACAAAGAGAGAAATATTTAAAATAGTATTTTTAACACCTTTGCAGGACTCAGCTTTTTACTTAAATTGGCTTTGTTTTGATTATGTCCCAGTAGACTTGTTTTGTACTATAATATATTTTCATGGAGTCTGATGCTAATAAGATGCTAAATCTTCCTGATCCTCATGCTTTTGTCAAGCTTACTATAGTAAGTAAAAAAAAGTAGTCAATCCAAGTCCATAAAAGCAGGAAATTATATGCTTGAGATCCTGAGAATTAGCTGCTGAAGTTGACAAAATAAATACTATTAAAGGGTTAAGTGAACATGCAAATCTCAATCCTGATCTTCTAAATAATGACTGTATTGAGATGTTGTTGCCCTAGAAGGAGTGTGTCTGCAGATTAATGAATGTGGCTAAAGACCCACACTTCATGCACATGGCAGAAGTAGAAAGGGAAGAATCTGGAGGCTTCAGTATTGCTCCAGCCTTGCTTTTTCAGTCTGTTCCAGTACACTGCTCCTAGCAGCTGGAGCAAATCAAGTGTATTTCAGGAGCACATCTTCTAATTTAATTTCATCTTAGTGTAGGAATCTTGTTGACATGCTCTGGGACCTGTTTAGCATAGGAACTTAAACACAGTAAATATAAGTAATTGAAAGGCTTTATTCAGTGTCCTTCCGAGGCTATAATTTCAGTGGTGGCTCATTCTTTCTGGGTGAAGTTTTCATCTGTTCCTCAGCACTTTTGTAAAAATTTTGAAGGGTTTTACAGTGAAACATACATACAAATCTTGGAAACATGCAAAAACAAATATTGTTCTTAAAGTCTAGTTTATGCCTAAAAGAAGTAATTGTTTGTATACAGATATATAATGAGTAGAGTAAATGGCTGACTAGAATCACAGATTTTTTTTTTTACAAAACAAAAATCATTAACTCCAACCTAAAATCATTAACTCCAACCATTAATCAAGCACCTTATATTCAACAATGAACCATGTCCCGAAGTACGACACCCACATGTGTTCTGAACACTCCAGGGCCAGTGATTCCATCACTTTCCTGTGAAGCCTGTTTCAATGCCTGATGACGCTTTCATCATGAATAATTTCTTCCTATTATCTAATCTGAACCTCCCCAGCATACCTTGAGGCCTTTTTCTTTTCCTGTATGACTTGTCACCTTGGAAAAAGACAGTGCCCCCACCTAGCTTCTTTCAGGCAGTTGTGTAGAGGACAGAGTCCCCTCTCAGCCTCCTTTTCTCCAGGCTAAACACCCCCAGCTCCCTCAGCTGTTTCTCATAGAACTTACGGTCCTGACACTTCCCCAGCTGCATTGCCTTTCTCTGGACATGCTCCAGCACTTCAGTGTAATTCTTGGAGTGAGTGCTCCAGAACTGAACACAGGATTTGAGGTTTGGCCTCACCAGTGCTGAGTACAGGGGACAATCCCTGCCCTGCTCCTGCTGGCCACACTATTGCTGATCTGCTCAGTGACCTTCCCTGGCATCAAGGCCAGGTTGAAAGGCCTGTAGTTTCCTGCATCCTCCTTCCTGCCCATCTTGTTGATGGATGTCCTATTTGGAAACCTCAACAAGTCAACAAGAACATCCCTGTTAGGCAAGACTGCTGGTACATGAGGGAAGGAGGCTCAGTGAGTACTTTAATCAATTCCCTTACTACCCTTGGGTGTATCCCATCCAGTCTCATGCAGTTGTGCATGTCTAAGTGGTGTAGCATGTTCCTAACCATTTTCTTCCAGGATCAGGTGACTTAAATCTGCTCCCCATATTTGTCTTCCTCAGGGGTCTGGATACCCACACAACAGTTGATATTGCTATTAAAAATTTAGGCAAAGAAGGCATTAATTACCTCAGCCTTTACCTCATCAATTGTCACTATGTTTCCCTCTTCATCTAATAAATAATGGAATAATAACTAGATAGATAAGCCTAATTTTTTGCACTCCATTTATTTAGATGCAAAATCTTACCTATCTATTTAGTATTCATCATAATTAAAATGAAACATGAGAGGAAAAAACCCTGCTGTCAAGTGCTAACATAAAATTAATTTATTGCTATTAATTTTTAGTTTACATTGGGAAGGTAAAGTTCTTAAGAAATGGCAAAATTTGTGGCACTTGTAGACACTGTAATTCCACGTCATTGATCTGAAAAGAACTAGAGAGGATTTAAGGTGTACTTTTTCTTGCAGGGCTATAGTTTATCTGTGAAGTTTGCAGTTTTCTGTGAAGCTATTTGAGCAAAACATCTGTGATCTGTTTCTACTAGGACTCCTTTGCTATAATCCTTTTTACAGACTGGAGTATTACAATTACTATTAAAAATACAAGACATCAAATGGTGTTCTTTTTCCCTATTATTATCCTTAATAACCCTAGACAGAAGTCAAGATATTATTCTACTCAGCATACAACCAAATATCAAGGAGAAAAATCTTACTCCAGTAAATTTGTCTTACTCTGTTACACTTGCTAATTAACATGGTCTTAATATGTAAACAGTCACAGTGAAATCGAGGTACAGTTTTTTGTTAGTAAAAGCAGAATTTCACTTAAACTAAATTCAATTAGGGCTACCATGTCATTAAAATCTGACTGATTTTAACTTAGGGGTTTAGAGCCTACTGGAATATTTATCCATCTCTCAACCAGAAACACACCATCAAATAATATGCAATAAAAATTTTTGTAATATGAACATAGAGAAACTACAGAAAGGCTATACATTCAGGGTATCAGCTTTGTTGAGTTTGTTGTTCTTTCATTTTCAAATGTATGAGTTTTATTTTCTGTAAGGTAGCAGAACTAGGTAGGGGGGTACTGCAAAGGGGGCAACTGAGGAAGGGGTAGGGCTGATATGGTTATGTGTTGGACTCCTTTTACTGAGAAATCTGCTGTTGCTCTCATAAAATGAGGCATTTCTCAACACTGCCTACGGATAAAACAAGGGACAGAGTGGTGAATGTACTTTCAGCACGAGTGCATCAAGGAAGATGATTTGACATAGTTGTTATTCTAATGATTTATTTCTTTAGATTATGAAAGCATCCACAGTTTGCTTGGAGCTTTCCAGGCAGACTAACTACTTCCAGTGAGAGAGGAAAACAATTTTGAATGAATCCGTAATGTACAGAAGTGTTAGTGAAAAAAATTCTGACTTACATTGGCATACCTGGACTGGCAGTTTTCATTCACCTTGGAGAGGTGAATGAGACACTCCTATAAAATTATGGATTGTCATAAACTTTAGTACTTTAGAAGATTTCTAAACAGCTACATTCCAAAACTGCTATCAATCATATATTTTGTAAAAGGAAAGACCTGATCAGATACAGATATCAAAATAATTTGAAACCTAAGTCCTTGGGACTTAGGAATTTCAAAGTAGGAAATTTGAATTTCTAACCACAATTTTAAATTACTCCAAATAGAGAAGATTAGGTATAGATTTTTGACAAAAATATGAGATAGCAGTATTTTATCTTTGGTGATATTTAGAGAATCATTTCAGTACAAATATGTTGTACTTGTCATAAAATTTTCAGTTCCACATGAGGATGTTATAAAATTTCACAGTCTAAACTACCAGCACAGGAAATGTCTCGCTTTCCTTTCATTTTTAATTGTCTACATTCTTCAATAATGTAAGGAGATCTAAAGAGCTCTAACCTAAAGAGTTTCCTGGCTTACCATGTTCTGAAAGGATCAAATTTATTTCTGGCTTCCATCCTCACTGGATGAAGTAACTCCATAGATAAATTTCACACTTTGCCTTGACATTTGGAATAGCCCACAGTTCTCTAACTGAGACCAAGATCCCAGGTCCGTGTGTGTTATCCAAAAATGTGTATGTGTTAGATAAGCCCATATGGCAGTGAGTGGGTCACAGCAGTGCCAAGTTCTCTTTGAGTAAACATGAAAATACCCAATCTCTCAGTAGGATTTCATTTTTAATTCTGTTATTCATCCATAACTGGAATAGCTGAAGAAAAGTCTATCACATTCTTACCTTTCTACAAGTTGCCTGTGAAACACAGAATTAAAATCATTAACCTGGTGCACAAATTTTAGTGGTCTCTATGCCACATGGTAGAGTTAAGGTAAAGAAGGGCTAATAATTAAGCCTCACAAAAGGTTTAATCAAATAAGGCAGCCCAGTTGTACAGAGGAAAATTAACTGAAATTAAGTAGTTTGAGTGGGTTCTAAGAGATACAAGGCTCAGGCAGACTTCAATCTGCCAAACAGCCAGAGAAATAAATTGAGTCATGTCTCAAAAGTGACTGATTTTTTATCCTCATTTAACTATAAAATGTGTCACACTTATAAGTAATTTTTGTAATTGGATGC